GTTCTGCACTCCCCCCCAAGCCCAGGAGCTCCGCTGCCACTTGGGGGGCTCCATGCTTCTCCCAGCAGTTCTGCGCATTCCCTCAGCATCCCTGCTATGGTGCTGTAGCCAGACAAAGATCCCCCCCGTCACATCCATCTTGCTTGCCCCTCTGAGGTGCCTGGAGCATACAGGGCATAAAGAGCAGTAAAATCAGCAGTGTCTTTGAAGCCCGGATATGCTGGCTTATCTGACCCTAGATAACTGTAAACACAGATACAAGAGGGTGATCAAGCCAATAAGCTGACCTAGAGGCTGCAAGAATTGCCCTTGGTTGGCACCTATATTGATACGATCACACACAGCTGTCCCTGGGAGAGGAATTGCCCACTGAGAAAAGAATGCCCAGTCCTCCCAATTTAGTTACCTCTCTTACAAGTGTAAATTAAGTTCACAGCTCCCTTGTAAGAACTGGCATCACAAAGACGACCCAGCACCATTTGGCACCATAAATAAAAAAGAGAAATACATGACCCCACAGGTATAAAGATGGGTCCAGCAGCACACTCACTCTGAGCGTCAATCTACCATCTACCTGCTGGTCGGGTTAGGTAATTGCCTCCCGAGGTCCACATGGGGACGCCCAGCCTCGTATTCGTCTTTCCCGGGGATTGAGTGACCGGTCCTGGCCTGACACACTGGAATCGAGAGACACAGAAGGGGGTAAAAATTGTACCCGTATGTGTCCTTTGTCTTAGTGCATAAATAAATTGAAAACTCTTTAAAGATTAAGCTGTCATTTGGTACCATTATTTTTGTTTTGTTTTTTTTATTTTTCCTTTTTCCTTTGTAACCATTTTAAGATCTGTATTTGCTAGCAGTTAAGTAGAACAATAGCCATTGTAACCACATGCTTTATAAGCTCCTTTAATAAACCTGTAACTGTTTTAAGTTTTTAACTGATTCCTCCTGTTGCTGTAACAGAACCAAACACAATAAAAAAAAACTCCAGCCGGTCATAAGGGCAGACGCAGTGAGAGCTGGGCATTTGGGCTCTGTTGCCTCCATGGGGCAGACCCTTGGGGCATCAGTCAACCTTCTTTAGGCTGCCTGCTGCGGAGGAACCTTGTGTCCTAACAGCTAAAGTCGTGTGTGTGTGTCCCTCTCTCTCTCACACACACACACAAACCTCTGACCATCTGCTGACAGGTGCAGGGGGCTTCATGCTCCCCTCCCACCCCAAGACTGGGAGTTCCACTCCTCCCGCCAGCTCTACTGACCCCGGGGCTCCATCTTGGCCACCTCGTTTGACAACACTCCTGGCCGCAGCCCCCCTGCTTATCCCCCTTAGTGCTATCATAGGTACACCTGATGATGCCATAGCAGGCGTGTTGCTGGACCAGGGAAGTTTGGATTATGGCATTTCAATGTGTACTTTGCATTTGTCCTTACTGAATTTCATCTTATTTACTTCAGACTTTCTCTCCACTTTTCCAGATCATTTTGAATTATGACCCTATCTTCCAGTGCACTTGCAACCCCTCCACAAACTTTATAAGTGAATTCTCTATGTCACTATCTAGAAATCATTGAAGATATTGAACAGAACCTGTCCAAAGACTGATCCCTGCGGAACCCCACTCGTTGTGGCCTTCCAGAATGACTGAACCCATTGAGAATTCTCTGAGAACAGTTATCCAACCAGTTATGCACCCACCTTATAGTGGCTCCACCTACATTGTACCTTCCCTAGTTTATTGATAAGAAGATCATGCAAGTTCATATCAAATGCTTTACCAAAGTTTGGGCACTGCTTCCCCTTTATCCACAAGGCTGGTTATCCTGTCAAAGAAAGCTCTCCGGTCGGTTTGACAGGAATCCATGCTGACGGTTACGTATCACTTTATTATCGTCCAGATGTTTTCAAGTGGATTCCCTAATTATTTCCTTTACTCCTTGGGGCCTTCATCTTCACCCCAGCCTTACCATTGTACTTGGTCTGCTACACCTCCAGGATTCTAGTCTTGGTCTCTCCTGAGGACACACACACACGTCTATTTTTACTAAACGATGTGGTGATGGTTAGGAAAAACAAAAAAGGGCAACGAGACCCACTAGAATAATAGTCTTCCACTTCAGTTTCCTAAATAACTCACTAGGAAACAGAGGCTTGATCAAAAACATTGAGCAAAATCTCATACATCAGCGCTGATGAGGGCTGCATGCAAGGCCCTGTCTACATCGCATACATTATCCTGTTTAAGACAAGTACAGATTAGTTCCATAAATTCTGGCTGTGGTCCCAGTAGGAGGCTGTGATTCAACCCTGGGGAGATTCTCATACTAAAGCTTTGTTCCTTAATAGATTTTTTTCCTCCTGTCCACAAAAGCAAGAAGAAATTATGAACAGTTGGGTTACAATCATATTTCACCTTGGTTATGACAGCTCATGTAATTCGATCTGCCCTCCATGCCTCTCCACTTCCCTCCAAGCAGCCCAGTGAGCTAGACTTTGCTTCTTCAGAGCACCAGCCTCACTATGCTATAGGCATGGGATCCAGGTGTAACTCAGCTTTCAATAAAGCAATTCCTAGAAGTCAGGGAATTGTTTTCCTCACAGCCATATATAGCCCATTAAAGATTATCACATGGCTGAGTTTCATAGAGATTAGCAATGACAGAACCATTCCTAGAAGTGAACTGCTGCCCACAAACCAACTCTATAGCTCCCATTGAGCAAGGGAACATTTCATTGCAAAGGTGTGTTCATATCGGGACAGGAAATGATGACAGGAAGACCAGCTCTTTAAGTACTTTTATAAAAGTATTTGACTTTGAGATACTTTTACAATTACCTGAGTATTTTGAAATTACAGTTCAAGGAAAGAATGGAATTTCAGTACAATATTTTACAATCCAGTGCTGCTGATCCTAGTTCATATATATTCACTAGAGAACATATCCACAAACTCTGATTCCAAAAGAAAATGAAAAAGTCACCACACTCACATAAAACCCAGGAAGGGGAGCTGGAGATACCAACTGAGTAGAAGATGTTTAGATTACTAATCCACTGTAGAATGTTAGGAAAACATGAGCTACATGAATGTGAGGTATACCAGAGTATGCTTTTTTGCCATATAATAAAAACAGCAATATATTTGGTCACAAATTATTTTTCCTTTTACACAAACCAAGTGGATAGGTTAAAAATATATAAAATTTGCAACAATATAACATTTTAAGTAATGATCCTTTAATTAATAATTTTATTAACTTAACATTTTCTGAGCTACCCAGAAATATCAGACTGTGTTAGCCATAAGATCAGTAGGTCAAAAATGTTATAAGAAAATTAACACCTTCCTAAGGCAAAATTCCAAATAGAGTTATTGTAACTCTTGTGGAACTAGATGCACTGACATTGGCACATGCATACAGCAGAGACAGTGTCAGTTTATTGTAATGTACAAGCTGCTAAATCTATGTAAAAGCAGACATTTGTTAATCTCTACTGAAGATCTCACTTGGAAGCCAAATTCACTCAACCCATCACATGGTATACCAAATTGTATGCTTATGCACATGATGTTTCCCCCAGGTCCCCATAAAGAGCAGGAGAGGGCATTAAATTGCTCATATTAATTCCTTTTTATTTCAACATAACATGCTGTAAAAAATTAACAGATTTGTTAGTATTTACAATGCTTACAAGGCAAAATGTATTTTAAAAGCAATTTTTAGTTCTGTTTTCAGAAATATTGCTAATTTAACACTTACTATAAACCAATTTTTAAATGGTCACATTTTAGACAAAATGCAGTTATTCATTTTACAGTTGCATTTTTCAGTGAAATATTTCCTATTTGCAATATTTTAACATGACTTCTGGTGCATGGGATATCCAGCCCCCCTTTTCCTCCTCCCAAATACAGCAGTAAAGACATATAAACAAGCTATTTAAATTAAAGGAAGAAATGGAGTGAGACCCCAGACTGCAAAAATATATACAAGCATTTACCTTTTTCCTGAACTAAACATTTCAACCATAAAAATATTCAACAGCCACACCCTATAGAACTAGGGCTATGGCTATTTCAATTATAACTATTCTTTATTTTAAAAATATAGGGCAGAAAGCCTTTTGGATGATATTTATACGTTAATATTTCTAGGTCCCTACATGAATCATTATGGAGAACACAAACTATTTTCCATAGCTTAATCTTGCATTATCTCACTTAATCTAATCTCTCTCGTAAATATGTTAGATAACTAGGCTTCATTATAAGAATTAACAGAAAATATTTATAAGGCTTTTGTTCCATGAACCATATGCTGTAAAATCAGTCCGATGTTTTGGGAGCTGGCAGACATTCTTCCAGGTAAAACGAAGTCAGCTCAGTTTTCATCCGTGAGTGAAAAGATAAAAGTGGGTCAATTTCTCCAAAAGCAGCAGCATGTTGACCTGCGTTTCTTGGACTATGCATGGCAAGGAAGTAGCACACTGCAGAAGTCTAGCCATTCCCCCTTCTTACGAGCACACGCGGAGGAACAACTGACCCTTTGCATGATCTGGTACCGAAAAGCCCTCAATAAAAGTTAGGAAACTGGGACAGCCCCTGCTTTGACCTTTTCCAGCTCCCACAAAGGGCTTCTGCCTCCAGAGTCCCAGGGCAGGGCTGCATTAGCAGGCACTCCTGCCCTGGCCAGGGCCATCTCTTCCCACAGAGACACACTCAGCCCATGGCAGTTTAACCAGCTGAAGCAGGGGTGGGCAAGATACAGCCTGCGGGCTGCATCCAGCCGGCCAAACTGTTTGATCCAGCCCGCAGCCTGCCCTGCTGCTCCCCCAGCCCCAATCAAGACCTGGGGGCGGGGCAGTGTGTGAAGTCATTCACTGTTCAAAGCAGCTGAGGTCTCCTTTCCCCCTCCAGGGGCATGCCCCCCCCCCCCCCCCTGGTTCTATGTGGGGGGGGGGGGGGGGGGGCGAAGAGTTGCATGCAAAGTCTCCTCCCCCGCCATGGGCACATGGCACCTAGAGGAAACTGCCAGCTGTTCCCCTTAGGTGCCCCTGGCAGGGCGTGGGGTGAGAGACTTTGCATGCTCCCCTGCCCCCAGACCATGATTAGCCTGGAGCAGAGGAACACACAAAGTATCCTCCCCTCGCCAGGGGCCTAGAAGGAACCTTCCCTTCCACCGGAGGCCTCTGCCCCCTTCCAGAGCTGGCCCATGACCACGAACCAAAGTTCGTGCAGTGTCCCTCCCGCAAAAATTATTGGCCACATCTGATCTAAGGGAGGAAGGCCAGGGAGAGAGCTGATCATATACAGAAAGTGCATTAATTCCAGAAGAGGAAATATAATGTAAAAAACTACTGCATGCTGCTAGAGTATCGTGATACTAACAGATTACAACTGGAAGTCAAAGATGTTATCCAAATCAGAAGAAAACAGTTATCACTTGGAAGCAACTCAGGGATGAATTAGTCTGAACACATTAGTTCTAACCTCTACAGAGTCACTGAATTTACTGATACTACAACATTGGGCAGTCTTTAATCTCTGACTAAACTGGCCAGTACTGACAGTCTCTTAACCAACTACAGCACATCAATTTGCCACCAAAATTAGAAACAATGTAATTTTGAGACCACTTTGTAGCATGTTTTAGATCCAGCTACACTGACTCTTCCTGACAGCTGGATAAAGTCTTAGAAGAAAACTATTTGACTGGGCACTTAACAGCCACATCGAGTCTATTTTCCATTAATTCATCTGACAAGAAACATCAATCTGCAATGCATTCACTTGCAATCCCAGGTGGTTTTATCTTTTGCAAAATAAGTGTTGAATAACCACAGTGTTAATATTGTATCTGACGTTAAGTGCGTGTCTTATATGGAAATGGATCAAAATTCTTCAGAGATAGGAGAGGATGCTCAAAATATAGCAACCACCTCAGAGAGGCTTTTATCATGCTAGAATTAACAGGATTTTTTGTAAAAATCAACACAACAACAAAGCTCTGTCCTGGACGTGTGCAGTAGTTCTGCATCCCCTTAGTAATGATCTGAATCAAGAAGAAATATAAACAGGCTCCAGAGGGAAAAATCAGGTTACACTTGAGCAAGAAACAGCAACACAAGCAATGGATCTGCTTCTAGTACCCAGAGGCTGGTTACAAGGTGGCTCTAGTAACACTGTTGTAAAGAGGCTTATGAAGATGCTGCCACATTGCAGCTACCAATGGACTTCCCAATGCATCAGCAGCAAAAGAAATGCTACTAAAAAGGAAAGAAAGACTAGTTTTAAAACACTGTCATTAAGGAGGATGCATTCGAATTAACAAATAGTGAAACAAAGCAGAGCGAGAGCTGTATTACATCTCTAGTGAGGTCAGATTGCATTTGCAGATGAATTATTTGCTGATTTGGTTTCTGGAAGGGCTCGGTAGAAATCCAGAGTTAGTGGGGATGAAGTCTCAGAATAACATCCATTTACTTGCACACTAGTAATTGTTTAAATAAATCCTAGTCAAGTCTACTTTACAACGAGATGTGCAACAAGCAGAGGAAGTGAAGAACGGATACCACACAAGTCCACGTTCTTTGGGGTGCAAATTCACATGTGATTACTCTTGCCCAAATCCTTCTGTTTCTTCAATTGCAAATAATAATTTTTCCTTCAACTGCTCATAACTCTTGTAGGGAGGCAGGTCCAAGCGATTGAAACTGAAAACAAAAAATTAAACAATGGCTCAAAATAATTAAAAAAAATCAGAATGCCACAAAAACAATTGTTTCACTAATACATGTCCCATGAACATAAAACCAAGGCCAGGGTACTCAGCTCCCCACTAGCTAAGGTAGAAATCACACGTATTACACAGCTATTCATATTAAAATCCACTGATGGCCCAGGTCTACACATTGTCAAGAGGTACTAGTGATTTCAGATGCCTTTATTGCTGTGCGCAAAACTTGACACACTTGAAAGAGACTGGATTTCTAGCAGTGTTGAGCATTCAATCTCTGAAGATCAGATCTCTTTCTAGTGGGGCTGGACTCGATGACCTTCCGAAGTCTCTTCCAGCCCTATCATTCTAGTGCTTTAAGTTGGGCATCTAAAATCATTAGTCACTTTTGAAAGTATGAGTCCTGGGAATATCACTCTACTTAAAACTAATTATTTTCCCTCCCAAGACAAATTAAAATAGTTGAAGGAATGACAGTACCAAAGGCAAAGTAAATTTCATCTTTTCTGTTTTTACTTTTTAAATCAAAGAGGAATTTTTCTAATATAACATGAATTGTGATTGTTGAGATTAAAGTTGACCTTTATGGAGGTAAATTTACTATACTATTAGATTTGTGTATTCTAGCATGCAGTTGTGTAATCTGCAGTGACATCTATTTGCCTGATTTTCAACTTCCATTTAAAGAAATTGTTGTGAAAATAACCTTGAAAATGTGAATCGTGTATAAAAGAGAAGAAGGTATTCTCTCGCTCAGTTTGCAGACAACAGCTTTGCAAAGTTTCAACTGACTTAACTCAATGATATGTTGATTCTAAAATTGGCATATGTGTTTCATGTGTGTGTTCAAGTATTTTATAGACAACTACGTTATTAGGAATATGAAACTAAAATGCTAACCCCATTCCAAACTGCCTCCCCATGCCTTCATAAGTGGAGAAATTAATACTGCAACACACACACATAGATACTTATAATTTATTCAAAATCTTTTTTTAAAAATAAATGAAGCTGCCATAGAATTTCCAGTATGGTGTACCACAATGCTACAGAATATGCAGACTGTGGTGCACAATTTTACAATTCCATCCTCCATACCTTATACATTAAAAACATGTTCTGGCCATTGAAAGTTTCAAATTATTTTGTAGTGAATAAGAGCAGGATTCTAACAATATACAACAATCAACTTAACTTTAAAGTGATGAGAAATTTGAGCTTCTCTGGATGCAGGAAGGAACAAATTTAGTATTTTCAAATGGCAACAGTTGGACTTTGTTGGCATTTCATCTTCTTTGCATTAGATATACTACAGTGGGAAACTCCATTCCCACAGAGACCCTTGCAGTTTTCGAAACCGGTAACTAACTGAGACATTCCTTTGGCCAGATGTTATGTAACGCATGCTAACAGTACGGCTCTGTCTCCCAGGATGACTGCACTGCATACAGAGAATTACAGGACTTTGTGCTAACAGATTTAATCTATTACCTCAAGTGGCAGAAGTTCATGCTTTTAGATCTGGAGGTTTGGGGTTCAATGACTGAAGGTGTGACTTGCCCAAAGATACTCTCACAAAAGACAGCTGGCTTTGAGCTAAGATTAAAGCTTTATTTACAGAAAATGCACTCACAAGGGTAAAAACTGCTATAAAAACAAGTATTGGAGCAGTAGCCGTGCTAGTCTGTACGCAACAAAATACAGTAAAACTCCAATTGTCCGGCATGCAGTGGTCCAGCACTCCTGATAGTCCGGCACCAACTGGAACCCAGAAGTGCTCCGGCCAGCCAGACAATTGGAGCTGCTCTACTCCCGGCTTCCGCAAGTCAGCGGCTGCTGAAATTGACCAGCCGCTGAAATTGACCAGTGGCTGACTTGGGGAAGCCGGGGGCAGAGCAGCTGGAGTGCTGCCGGATTGATCCCACAGCGCTGCCCTCTCCCACACTGAGCAGTTCCCCGACAACCCCCCACCTCCACCCAAAACTCTTCACAGCCCCCCTTCTGGGGTCACCCCCTGGTCCTAAAGGTGCTGGCTTATCGGAAGTTTACTGTAGTGAGGAGTTCTGTGTACCTTAAAGGCTAACGAATTTATTTGTGCATAAGCTTTCGTGGGCAAAACCACACTATGTTAGCTGCAACAGCCGATGAAGTGGTTTTTGCCCTCAAAAGCTTATGCCCAAATCAATCTGTTAGTCTTAAAGATGCTACAAGGAACCCTCATTTTTATTAAAAACAACGAACTCAATGTTACAGCTATTCATAATTTCTGAATGTCCTGGGTCCATTTTGTGTCACATACTTTATTTTTACTAACACACCTGTCTCAGCTGCAGCACACTAGTCCAATGCATCTGCTTAGCTCTAAAAAGCAGTCTTGATATCATTTGTGCTTTCCCTGCCATACTTCAAAGCATAGACTAATTGTTGTTTTTTTAATTTTATCCTGTACAGACTAACTCGGCTACCCCCTGAAGTCAAGTACCGAACTATCAACTGGGGCACAAATGCCAGAAGAAATGCTTTGTATCTGGATCTAGCTGCTGAAGGATTGTGTAGTGTTTGTTAATTTCCTTTTCCAGGCAGTTCCACTTTTGCAGAGAGAACTGTTTGCTACAACTGAACAGAAAAACAAATGGAGGACAATAAAAAGGGTTAAAAAGGAAGAAGTTAAACAAATTATTATCCTCTGGTAACAATTATGTGGATCACTAAAGTTTAGAGAAACTATGAAATTGTTTTGGTATTACATTAAACTATGATTTGGTTCAAAATGATTATCCATGCTTACTTAGGGCCTGGCTCCAAATGGTGTGGGAGGTATTTGCTACCTCAGCTGAAGCTAATCACAGGGTGATTATGGCTGTAAAACAAATTCCAGGTGTAAGCTCATTTTGGTTTGTAATCTCTATACCCCTATATATTTCTGATAATTCTTTATGCATAGAGCCCTAAGCAAAATGAAGCTATATTAACCCTTGCTGAAATATTCAAGTAGCCCATGTCAGTAACCACAGGTTATTAGAAGGACAATAATAATCTAATCGAATGAGTACTCACCAAGTATGACTTCTAGGTAACCAGTTTTCTTTTCCAACTTTTTCAATACAAAACTTTTGGGGTCCATTGCTCCCTGCAATAAAATAAAGTATTTTAAGGTGATGTTCCTATTTGCAATGGGCATGAGAAAGTGTGGGACAGCTAGCTTTCCTTACACTAGATTATCTAAAGCACCTCAGAAAGACAAGATTATCTCAACAGGAAATAGAAGAACAAAGACATTTGCCTCCAATCACTCGTCTTTACCCAGATCCAACCACTGACACGGTGAAAGGCACAAATTAAAACATGATTCTGATGGATGTCTGGAAGCACTCCAGAACAGTGTATGTTTTTCTCCAACTTTTCATGGTTGAAATATAATGGGGATTTATGAGAATAGCTGGTGAAATGTACTTGGTTGGATTCATTATAAAAACAAGCTGTTCAAAATCAGTCACAATATACAGTTCTGTCCTTTCCAATAATGAGCTAATACGTTGGAAGGGCTATTCTGCATACCCATCAGGTCCGCAAATCCTCCAACTGGTAATCTGCACGTTCCTGTAACAAACTGCAATAGTCGCATTCTCTTCTCATTGTCTATTTCTTTCACAAACTGAAAGGGAATGAATATTAAACAGATATGTAGGTGCAGCTTTTACACACATAGTTAGTTTCATAAACAACATCAATGATGTTAACACATTACAGGTTGAACCTGTCTAGTCCAGCAACATCGACAGACTGACATGATTTTAATTAGTTGGATGTCCACGTATCATGGCTGTGAGACTTTGGAAAACTTGTCCAAAGTCTTGGCTCTCTTTGTTGTGTGCCATTATTTAGCTCTGATTTACCTCTAAAATGTTTTCTAAGTGTCCAGTAAGCAGTGGGAGTGTTGGGAACGGTGCTAGACAATACCGACCTCCTGTGGTCCGCAAATTCTTTGGTTCGGCACTGGTCAGGTCTTGAGGGGCTGGACTAGAGAGGTTCTACCTATAGTTATATTATTGTGAAAAGCCCCTGGAGCAGTAATAATGGTTTGCATTGGCCATCAGAAAATATTAGTAATAGTCCCCTCCGCCACATTCTGATAGAAGAGGGGCACTAATTCCCTGCACATCTAGCCTTAGTAAGCCCTGGGGGTCCCTACAGCCACAGGGGAAGGGTTAGTGGAAAAGGGAGGCAGTGCAGGGTGTATCCTAATTCCACTACGCTCAGCACCCACAAGGCAAGAAAAGGCCAGGCGGCTCCAGGTCAAGTAGCACGCCGTACTCAGCAAATCCACTCTGTTGCTTTGAGGCCTGGGGATGCCTTCCCCTTTCCTGGGCTCAAGGCATCTGCTGCCTCCTCTGTGATCTTTGCCTCCTCTTAGCAGGCAGACTAGGCTGGCCTGGAGGGCAATATGAAGTCTTTTTCACTGTGGGGATGTAGAGGCATGAGCACTTTAGAACTCCCTTAATACTTACCAGAGTATCATAGAAATGTGGGCCTGGCAGGTACTTTAAGAGGTCATCTAGCCCAGTCCCCTGTCCTGAGGCAGGACCAAGTATTACCAAACCCAGCCTCTGACAGGTGCGTGGCTAACCTGATCTTCAAGTTGCCCAATGGTGGAGATTCCACTCCCTCCCTGAGTAATCTATTCCAGTGCTTAACCATCCTGACAGTTCCCTAATGTCCAGCCTAAATCTCCCACGTTGCAATGAAAAGCAATTCTTCTCCACTGATGACAGGACAAGAAGCGAGAGCAATTTCTCGTCCACCTTGCTGGAACAACCTGTTAGGGGCTTGAAGACTTATGTCCGCCCTCAGCCTTCTCCTGCCTAAACAAGCCCAATGTTTTCAATCTTTCCACACGTCTGCTAGATCTTTAATCGGTTTTGTTGTTCTCCACGTCTTTTCTGAAGCACAGTGCCCAGCACTGAGCACTGTCCTCCAGCTGAAGCCTTATCGGTGCAGGGCAGAGTGGAAGAACTTCTTCTCGTGTCTTGCTTCCAACGCTCCCGTTGAATGTTTGCCTTTTTGGGACAGTATTACATCACTGACACTCATCTGTCTGAGCTCCACTAGACTCCTCTGCAGTGGGATGTGAACGGGTAACAGGGTAACACTTGGCCAGCTAAGATGATGCTTACTGGGCTGGGAGTCAGCAGGCTCAAGAGGGGCTGGGGAGGGGGAAGCGGAAGCAAGGGGCGGTTGTTGGCTCCTAGCCCATGTGGGTTTGCTGTCTAGGAGTTGGCAGCCTTGCTGGGGGAGGGGAGAGGAGGGTAGAAGCTGCTGCAGGGAGAGTTGGGGGGGGGAATGCGGGGGAGGGAAGGCTGCTTGCTCCCTTCCACCACACGTGGCTGCAGACTCCCAGCCCATGAGCCCACCTGGGCTGGGAGCCGACAGCCCTCCCTGCCCCCAACGCTGCTTCTGACTGCACAAGGCTGCCAACTCCCAGCCCAGCACCGGGTCGGAAGCAGCTGGGCTGGAAGAGCCCCTGTCCGCGGTGCAGGGACCACTCCAGTCCAACGGGTGGAACCCTGAGCCCATTTAATCAGTTAACCCAGTGTTTCCTAATTGGACAAAGGTGTCTGCCTGATTATGTTGCCGGGCTGCACGATAGCCTAACAAAGCACTAAGAATAGCCATATGGCTCAGACTGATGATCCAAACGGCCTTCTTTCAATGGCCTATGCCGGGTGCTTCACAAGGAATGAACAGAACAGGCAACTGAGCGATCCATCCAGTCATCAGAGGCATGGGGTTGCACTCAGAACATGAGGTTGCATCCTTGACCATACCGGCAAATAACCATTGATGGATCATTTCGTCATCAACTCTAATTCACTGCTGAATGCCATTATAGTCTTGGCCTTTGCGATATTGCTTGGCAATGAGTTCCACAGGCCGACTGCATGATGTGTGAAGAAATATTTCTTTCCGTTGGCTTTAAATCTGCTGTAGGGATGTAAAATTTTGATCTGGCTAAACCAATTTGCATCCACTATTGGATAAGTCGGTACAGACACTTCTGCCTTTGAAGCGTAGCAACAGCCATTGCTACGTTTCAAAGGCAAAAGTGCCTGGGAGCATGGGGCCAGCCGGGGACTGAAGCAGCCGCCCCCTGGCCCCGTGCTTCCCACGGCGTTTCCACAGGCTGCACGTGGCATTTCAAAATGGCAGTGCCACATGGAGCCCGGGGTCTGGCCCGAGGCTCTATGCAGAGCTGCCACATGGCAGCCCCCCCCCTTCCCCTTTCTTGTCCCATCCCCCGCTGCTTCTTTCTGCTAGAGGCAGCCAGGGGAAAGGGGGAAGTGACTGGTCAACTGGCATGTCATTTACTGGGCTGGGAGTCACCTGGCTTGGATGATTTAGTTGGGATTGGTCCTGCTTTTAAGTAGAGGGTTGGACTCGATGCCCTCCTGAGGTCTCTTCCAGCTGTAGGATTCTATGACGACAAGCTATCTTTGTTGGGTGGTAACTGCTAATTGAGATCCCATAATTTTGCATGGATATATTTGGAATTATGTTTTCAATGTGCATTAGTTTGCACTAATAAACTGGCATGGAATCTACGATGGTAGGACAGACTTGTTTTGTGATTTTGGTTTTTGCTTATCATGCTGTAGCATAGTCCCACCCCTTTTGTAATTCCTACTTTTCAAAATAAAGGAAAAGTCAATCACAAACCTGCCAAAACCACATAATCTGTTTGCTTGTCCTGGTGTAGTGTCTATAGATGGCATGTCTCTGCCAGTCATTCAAGTCAATCTCTTGCATTCCACATAAAAGCACCTAATTGTAAGAAAAAAAAATATTAAGATTTAAGCTAAGATTTTGTTCAATGGATTCTATATGGTTGCAGCAAAGAACATCTGTGCTTGCACTTGCGAACACCTACTATAACTATATATTTGATTTTAAACTTTTTTTTTTTCAAATAGCAGCTTACTTCTCACCAACAAACAGTCAAGGTGATGACCTCAGACAACGAGCTTTATTCAGACCTGCTCTAGGAAAGGGTAATGACTGATTATGCAAAAATCAGATACAGTGGGGTAATCTTCCCTAATGAAAAGAACTGCTTCTTCCTGGTCTTCCAATACAGAGCTCAGTTAAAACAAATATTAACTAGGACTACCCAGAGTGAACTAGAACATTACTCTCTTCTGTGTATAGAGGCTGAATCTCTAGTCCAGCACCCTTGGGACCTGACTGGTGCCAAACCAGATAATTTGCTGGACCATGGGAGGTCAATATTGTCTAACAGCATTCCCAACACTTCCACTGCTTATTGTGCTCTGAGAAGACATTTCGTGTTAAATCAGAGCTAAACAGCAGCTCAGGGCTGGTGGCTGTAAATAAACTTTAGCCACACCCATGAGAAGTGGACATCTGGCTAACCAAAATAATTTCGGACCATGGCAGTTGCCAGACCAGAGAGTGCAAGAATAGAGAAGTGCAACCTATATAACTTTTCCCTATTTTTGTGTGTAAATAAAAAATGCATCAAATAGCAGTTCTATGTGATACCCTGTACTCAGATGAAAATAAGCATGTGCTTTCTATGCTTGGTCTTCAGTTGTATAAGCTAAACTTTTTCATATGGTTAAACTGTTGGACTGAACCATGATGTGCACCATCCCCACGGTGTGTCTACCCCTTCCTATTAAAAAAAAAAAGCTAGCCTGGATGGTAAAACTCAGATAAAAGAGTAAGGACTGGGGACAGCCAGAGCTTTTGAGAACATGCAGTGATCCACACAATGGAAAAGCAGAAGGAAATGTGCTAACCAATGAACTGTTTAGGAAAATTTCTCACCACTAGCAAACTGTCTTCAACAATCACACAGCTCTGTTTTGCAAATTCAGGACTGGATTTCCAGTGAATCTTGTTAATGAGGACATCAATTGTGCCCACGCCTACCCAAGTAAGTCCCTCACCTCTAGTTCCTTGGCATCAAAGTACTGTAAGTACTGCTGTGGAAGAATTTCATTAAAGCCTTCAAAGAAAGCTTGTGTCTGTTCTTCAACACCACGGGAGATTCTCCAATCTGCCACCAGCCTGGAAAAGGGGGGGGGGAGGGGGAAGAGAGAAAAAGGGTAATTTGTCATTTAAACTGCCTCATGTTGCTCACATCCACATTTCTTTTGTTAGCCTATTTTGTGATGAACTGTGAACTATGTTAAAAATATTATGGAAAGAATGGAAAGTTTTGAGGACAAAACACCAAGTAATTTGTAACTATCTATCTTGATGCAGTGTAAACCAGCATTAAAGCAAAAAGTTAAAACCCTCCATTTCTGACCAGTGTGCTAAGAAAAAGCTTACATGATCAAAGAGGAGGCAGTATCTATTCAGAGATAAAATAATGAGTGCACAGCAGTCCCTAGGTATTGAGAAAAATATATTTTCCCCGAAATCTCAGTCATTAACTATGAAAAAGTAAAAACTAGGTCAAGCTGTACTGGTGAAGATAATGAGGACTGCTAGCTTACCAAGAAACGACTATGTCCATTTGGAAAGTTCCATATTTGTGTCTGTTAATCATGAAACTTTGCTCTGTGGCAGAAACTCCACTCTCCATAAATAAAAGGGTGAAAAGCAGGCAGGAGACCCGGAGAACCTGAACCCAGGGAGAAGCAGATATTATGCTAAATTCAAGCCTAACCTGTCAGGAGAATTGGAGTCTAGAGGAGAAAAGGCTAATTTCTGGTATCAATCCTAGCAACTCAGTTGACAAAGCAGGATAGAGGTAGAGAAGTGGGACTGAAATGGGAATCGGCGGTTTACCTCAGCTATTGGAAGCTAGAAGAAAAAAAAGTTTTTTGAAGATTCTATTCAAGTTTTCTATTAATATCTTTCAAAATATAAAAGTGTTCCTTATCCAGTGTGTTCGCCCTTTGTGTGACCTAAACGTATTTATTTAGAAATGTTCAATACAGTTTGACATTTTGTCATAGTTTATTCATATAGTGATACTAAAATCTGCCAAGCAACAGTAATCTTAATAGAATAAATAATTTAGAAATGAAAAAAACGGCTCCAATCCATGTAAGTGGGGTATTCTGTGATTCCAATACACATAAGCAGTGTGTACTGGAGTCACAGAATACTTCAGAAAGTCCAAATCTTTAAGGGAGGGCTTTTTGCACTACAGCAAATTTGGAGAAAAAGGCTTCAATAAGAACAAGTTTACTTGGTCCATACATTCCTGCATTCCCTTTGCAAGAGAAGCCATTTTTAAAAAAAATAAAGGACCCTCCCTCCCAATACTGCTTCAGGATGATCCTGCAATGAAATGAATACCTTATTTATGACACCACACTGTTTGCCAGGCCTACAACTGTGACATCACAAAATAAGCATTTTGATTTCACTGCAGGTGCAGCTAAAAGACAACTGGCTGAGAATAGAACCTTTAAAGATAATTTTGAGAAACAGAAAGAAACATTGGAAAAAACATGAGAGATGTAAACAAACGTTTTGAACTGAACCATATAAAAGTGGTAGGTTAGCATCTTTGCAGACTTTGAAATCGTTTATAAACGGATATTCAGATTTTTTGTCTATTGGAACATATTGGATATTAAGTTTTAATATCTTCAGTATACCCATGGCTCTTCAGATTCTTTTAGAAGTCACTCTTCAGAAATGACATCCAAAAACATCCACTAACGCTAATCGTATCAGTTATTCATTGAATGTATTTCTGTGGTGCTTTAAATTATGTGGTTTGACAAATTTATT